AGGACCTAATCACAATTATTATACTTTCTGCACAAAATGACTTGAGTCCACAGGGATGCAAGAAAAATGGCATCATCGGTGGTGTTTGTTTTTGATGTCTCTTGATTGGGACATTTTAAAAGAACAATTTTCAGTGGCACAGATACTAAAATAAACTCTTTGTTTTGGAAGGGTAGGTATAGAGGGCGAGAACCCATGAGAGTCGAGAGGGCACAGGAGCAAAGCAGCACACACTGTGAGATGAAACAACATGGGCTTTACGGGCGAAGTGACCGTAGATCTCCATTTCCTTTGCCCAGTTACAGTTTACATCTTTTATGGAACTAATAGTGCCTTTTCTCTTAAAAATGCTTGAACAAGAAATTAACTGGTCACCTTATTTACAACTCACATTATCTCCAAGGTTTGAATTCTGGTGCTGTCACTTACTAGCTGTATTACTTTGAGAAAGTTACCGATTCTCTCAGTAACTCTATTCAATGAAGAAAAGACTAACACAGAAACCGTTGTGAAAGCAGACTATAACCTATGCACCCAATACATTATCTGACACATGCTAGGTGCTGCAAAAAAGGCTTCTATTGCTGAATTGGCCTGTCAACATTAATGACTTTCACACCTCAGTAATAAGTTGTAACACCAACAGATATGCTCATTTCCCCCTCATTTCAAAAAACTCAGCAGTGAGGTCTTTAGGCCATATCCTAGATGACACCTAACAGTACAGACCCTGACAGGAGGTTTGGCTCTTCAGGCAGATGTTTCTTTTATTCTATTTTTGCTTTATTTTTATTCTCGTTAAGACCTCTTAAGGAGAGAGGCAGAATAAGAACTCAGTACTGTATTAGATGTTAGAAGACTTAAACAAATCATGTCCACTCACGTTCAAGCTGTGACTCTGAAGCCAAATGACTTTATCTTTCAAAGGTTTGAGTCTTACGTAAAATAAAGATACTCATAATTTCACATTTTAAAAACTATTAGCAAACTGTTTATAAGGAGTTATACTTCTAGAGCAGATCTTAGATTCAAAGAAAAATTATATTTATAATTCTAATTACAATAGCAACAACAAATACAGTACAATGCTTTCCATATATATGCATGCTTATTCTAGTATAATTCAAGTTCAGTGATTTTATTTTAAAAATTAGCAAGCTGAAGGACCATGAAGTTAAATGACTTGCCCAATATGACACCGCTTGCAAGTGGCATAACGGAGCTTTAAGCCAACACAATGTGGCTCCAAAGTCTGTACTCTTCCCCATCACACAGTGCGCGCGCAATATCCCCATACCTGATCTCTGAAATCTACACAGGATATTCATGATGGGCACAGGTAATGAAAGAGTCTTATACTAGTCTATAGAGAATGAGACCAATCACCAAGGGGGCAAAACATCAACCTTCTTTTAAGGCAAAAAGCCACACACAAATGTATCCAGCCCTTTACCACTACTTCTCAGGCATTGACAGTGTTCTGCTGGGAAGGAAGATAAGAAGGCTTGTGTTCCAGTGGCTCTAACCTAAGTTTATTTGTTCAATAAACAATCATTTAATTCAAAGCACTGTACTAAGGTGCCACAAAAATAAATAACATATGATCCTATTCTTCTATGAGAATGCATACAGAAATACTTTAAATCAATGTGGTACGGTTTAGTTAGAGCCTAGAGGATACAACAGTTAGCTGAACCTTAAAGGGAACGTCGAGAAAAACTATGACCTTACCAAACTGTCTACAAATGAGAATTCCATATGGTACAACCTAAGAAAGGTCATTTGAGCCAGTTCTTGTTGGGTGAAGAGGCAGGGCAAAGAAAGGGCATCAGAGGGAAGTCAAAGGAGACAGTTTTTCTTTAATTTACATGGAGTATTGTATAGTGGGCACACATTATCGCTGCAAAACAAGAACACACTACACATAAGTGGGCACATATACACCCTCTTCCACTTTGGTTGTTCTTAAAATTTTTGTATATCCTTACCTTATATGACTGCAGATTAAAGGTTCAAATATATTTTCTTGAATTCTTTAACAATACAATTCTTTATTCACAATCACAAAAAAATATAAAAATTCCTTCAAAACCCCTAGTAATAAGTGCATTGCATAGCTAACCACATGCTAGAAATCCTCATGCATTTCCAGTTATACACTTCTCAGATTTCCTGGGTTAACTAGGAGCTCCCAAATTGCAAAGGATTCCAAAGTGTGGTTACTTGAAAGTTGTAATTTTGTCTGGCATTTTCCATGGGATTAGTCATGGAGTGGTACATAAAATTAGCAATCTGAACACCCTAGCTGTTCAATAGTGTTTATCTCTTAGTGGTCGTGATAAACAACTTAGCTGCCAATTTGTGGCTCAAACCCACAAATGTGTTCTCATCACTATGTGGCTGACAGGCATAGAACTGGACCATAAAAGGCCATCTTGGGTGCCGGCATGGATCAGGGAACCAGTGGAGAGGTCTGGGGGGCTGGCCCCAATCCCAACTACTACGTGGACACCTAGCCCTCCCCCTTGAAGAATTTATTTCAAAGAATGGCATTGAACCTGCAACTCCGGGAGAGGGACATACCTGATTGGAGCATACAGGAGCAAATGGAGGAGGAGGAGGAGAAAGTGGAGCACATCCTAGCCCACCAGACTGTGAGGACGATGTTCCCAATTAGAGCAGCCAGTCCACAGAGAGGACCACATGGCCGGCCCCACTATGAGACATGACGCCCCTCACTGACCCATATCCCTACAGGGGAAAACACCGGAGATACAGTGTGGGAATTACACCCGATCTGACCCTGCCATCCCAAGGAAAACACTAAAGGGGTGCAACAGAACAGCAAGGGAATGGAGCAGTGAAGTCCCCAGGGAATGCTGAAGGTGGACTTTGAGGCCAGGGTGTGGTACCCCAACAGACTGGATTGGAAAACACTCCTAAAACCCAACAAACAGTCCTTGAACTAACTACAAGCTTTTCTTT